TTTTTTTTTTAAAAAAAAAAAATATTTTTTATTCGAATATTTTTTAATTTTATCTTTTTTTTTCGGTTCCAAAAAAAAAAATTATTTACTCATCAACTTATTTTTTTTAAAAAAAGTTTATTACTATATAAAAAAATGCAAAAAGCAGAAAATACGAACGAATGGGTTTGAATACAATTATTTTAGTAATATTTAAGAAATTAGATCCGGAAATTTCAGAAAAGTTTATCGTGCGAATGGAAAAATTCTGATCATTGTAAAAGATCATTCATTAGGTAATTATAAAAAATAATCTACAATTTTTAGTATCTATATAAATTTTATATCTTAGACTTCAACCTCCAATGAGAAATATAATTTCATAGTAATAATATTAATTATTGATTTTTAAAAATTTGTACTGTACCAGATATGATAAAAAATATTCAATTCGACTTGGTGGTGGAAAAAGAATATAATAGTTTAAATAATTATTTCATTTATTTGTTAGAAAATTATAATGATCAATTAAAAAAAAAATATTTGTTGGTCATGGAATACGCTGATAGTGAAATTCTTCATGATTATTTGAAAAAATATTTTCGGCAATCTAGTTAGTTTCTGTCGTGTCATCCCTAATACAATATATTATAAATTTTTTAATTAAAGGGCTTTAATATATTTATGATATTATTTATCTTATTAAGCAAATATTTCTTTTAAAAATGTTCTTTCTTTTATAACTAATTGTAATTTTTTTTTAATTTTTATAACAATAAAAAAAGATTTTTATATAAAGTTTAAAAATTTATTAGTATTTCTATTATTTTTTATAGTTAAGTCCACTATAATAAAAATTTTTTCGATGATATCACAATAAAATTTTAAGAGTAATGTATTTTATCATTTTATCTGAGGATGAAAATTCTTCATTAATTCCTTTACTGTATACTGTATATTATTCTAGAAGATTGCAAAGTTGACAATAACTTTAGTTCGTAAAGGAATTAAAGTCAAAGAAATTCTATGCGAACTTGAGAGAGTTCAAATATAATAGATCATGAAGATGGATATCATCTTATGACAGAAGGAGTTGCTTAAGAGTCAGCACATAGTAACCTTCGCGAGAAAATCACTGAAGAAATTCGGCCTCTTGAAGCAGTTTATAAATGCGATCACAATAATTATTTTAGAAGTCAATTAGATAGTTTTGCAGAATGTGAGATAACAGTCTTCAACCTGTCTCTTATACACATCTTCAATTTCAAGGCAATTCAGCAGGTGTTTTAATAACAAATTGAGAAATGATTTCCATAGAAAATCTCGTGACAAAATTTATAATAAATTTAAAAATAAATGATCAACAAATGATCAACAAAATCGTTACTAGTTTTATAAAAAACGCCCAATAATATCTTTTTATTGTTTTAATTTGTTGTGAGCATGTCAAACTTTTCACGAAAAAATATAAAATTTTGAGAAATAACGACAAGTAAAAAATATACACGAATTTGAACGTTGTTGGGCTTTCGTTTTTTATTAAGATACGCCATTGAACAATTTATTGAGCTCATTTTCTTCATAGATTTCTGATAGTTGGTCTCCAAAAAACACTCTTTTTGCTAGGTACGAAGAGTTATAATTTGATGTGTGTGATTAAATGAATGGATAATTGTTAAATGATACACACTAATTTTAAATTGTGCTTATTAAATTTATAATGTTCTTTCGATCATTGAGTTTTTTGCTTTTCATCACGTGTTTTAACAAATATCAAACACTTCTAGGTACGTCATAATGTTCAAATCATAATATGATGATGACCCTGGATTTTTGGACTATTCTTTTTTCAATTTTCTCAATCCCATTTTTTTTTTCTTTTGATAAAAAATAAAAACTGAAAAATCTCGATGAAATTAATCTTAAAAAATTCTTTTATTATTGATTTTTATGATTTTTGCTTATTTTATCTTTTTTTTCTTGGTAAAACGTAGCGTCACGTTTCTTTTTGAATATTTACTGCGTCATTGTCATATTTTATAAAATGAATCAATAAATAAAAAAAAAATTAAAAATTAAAAAATTAAATTCCCTATAAAAAATATGTATACGGAAAGGATACGTTTTGTATACATTTTATGTACGTTTCTATAGATTCCGTATACAAATTCCGTATATTTAATAAGTAATTCATTTTTGAACATTTTTTTAAAAAACTAATGTATAAGAAATGTATACGGAAAAAATTAATCATGTACGGAATTATCATAACACGAGATCACATGATTGTTTATTGTTTTGTTATGATACGTTTTTTGTTTTTTTACTTTTTTATATAAAACCTTACTTTGATGAGTTTGATCTTCCGATCTTCCTTTCTGTCTTTCCTTTCCTTTCTCTTTCTCTTGTCTTATTTTTGTTATTTTTTCTAAATTTTTCTTCTTTCTTCATCACCCCCTTTTAAAAATAATTTTTTTTTTCGTACCTCACTTTAAAAAAATTTTTTTTTCGTCNTTATTAGAGAGGGAAGTACAAAAAATATTGCGTTCTAGCACATAAAATACCGAATGTGATGAAATTCTTTCATATTTTCACCCCAGCGTAGATAATAACTAAAAGTAATTTTTCAAAAAAGTCAAGTACTACTACTTGACAGTATTCATGAGACAATTGAGACATATTTTTATAATAAAAAGTTTTCGAGAAAATGTTGGAAGTATCTATATAATAATTTGGATTTTTGTACGACCGTGATTAAATTTAAATTATCATGCATAATTTGTTGTGAGCATATCAAACTATTCACGAAAAATATAAAATTTGAGAAATAACGGCAAGAAAAAAATATACACGAACTTGAAAGTTGTTGGGCTTTGGTTTTTTAGTAAGATACGTCATTGAATAATTTATTGAGCTCATTTTCTCCATAGATTTCTGATAGTTGGTCTCCTAAAACATCCTTTTGATTGCTAGGCTTTTACTCCCTACGAAGAGTTATAATTTGATGTGTGGAGTCCAGTTGATTAAATGAAAGGATAATTGTTAAATGATACACACTAATTTTAAATAGTGCTTATTAAACTTAAAATGTTCTTTCGATTATTGAGTTTTTTGCTTTTCCATCACGTGTTTTAACAAATATCAAACACTTCTAGGTACGTCATAATGTTCAAATCATATTATGATGATGACCCTGGATTTTTGGGCTATTCTTTTTTCAATTTTCTCAATCCCATTTTTTTTTTCTTTTGATAAAAAATAAAAACTGAAAATCTCGATGAAATTAATCTTAAAAAATTCTTTATCCTCTTTTTTTCCTTATTATTGATATTTATGATTTTTGCTTATTTTATCTTTTTTTTCTTGGTAAAACGTAGCGCCACGTTTCTTTTTTGAATATTTACTGCGTCATTGTCATATTTTATAAAAGGGATCAATAAATAAAAAAAAATAAAAAAATAAAAAATGAAATTTTATATTTTCTTTATAATAAAAAAGTGAAAACCATATTTATATTTTGATTATTTACTGTTCTACTAAAAAAAAAACAATTAAAAAATAGACCCTAATATTTTATTTATTACAAAAAAGTGAAAAAAAGTTAAAAAAAATTGAAAAATAAGTGCTTTAAAAGCTTTTTTTTTATCCCCGAATGAAAAATTTCAAATGTGAAATCTTGATTATTTTAAGGAGTGAGTCATTACTACCTCCTAATTATATTTTTCAATAAAGTATTTCATCAAAATAAAGTCGTCAATATAAATATGTTAAAAGAGTTACGCATTGCTTCAAAAATATAAAGTTTAATTTAAAAATTTCAACTATATTTCTACATTTGATTAACATTATTTTATTATTTTACGTACAGTAAGTATGTAATATCAGATAGGATAAATTTTTTCTGAATATCATAAAATAAGTGTTTATATAATATAGTAATATAAAAGTAATAGAATAAAAATAATAATATGATTATAAATATACACTAGCAATCAATTCCACAAGTTAAAATAAAATGAGATAAACAAAAGTATAAACGCTAAATTTCATGACCAAATGTTTCTATTTTTGTCTTATTTTCAACTTTCGTCTTAATAAGCTTTAATAAATATTTTCGCTTTAAATAATGATGCAGTCGATAAATCTTTCACGCCAACATAGGCGGACCGAATAAATTTCGTTCAAGAAACTTTCTGTTTGACTTTTTTGATCTCCCTATTGTATCAAAAAATTAAAGCGGAAAAATGGTTAACAAAACAAGTTTTTACGGATAAAAAAAAAAACCTTTACGTTGAATTTTTAGTCACATGATTGGATTTTTGTAAAAATCATATCCCATAAAAATAGAAATTATTTTTGCTGATCATGCAAAAATCTTTTATAAATTTAGTAACCTATTGTTTCAATGAATTATTCTTTTTAAACTTTGTTTTTGTTTATTTAATTTATTGTTATAAAAATATGTCTTTTGAATATTTTCAAGAACTTTCTAATGATTTGGAAAAATTACTTACAACTGAAAAGGGATATGATGTCATTATTTACGTTGGAGAAAATGAAAATATAAAAGAATTTCATGCTCATTCGAATATTTTATGTACAAGGTCGCATTATTTCTGTTCAGCTTTCTCTAATGAATGGGCCAATAAAAAAAATGAAAAATTTATTTTCAAGAAACCTAACATTTCTCCTGAATTATTTAAAATTATTTTAAGGTAACATAAAATTATAAAATTTATCGTTTAGTACTTTAATAGTTATATAATATTAAATATTTTTAATTATTTAGATATATTTATTGTGGGAAGATTGATTTAACAAAATTACAAGGTCCTGAAGTATTAAAACTTTTGATTGTAGTGGATGAACTTAATATTCAATCTTTAATCTCTTGTATTCAAAAATATTTGATTAAAAATGAAGATAAGTTTTTGCAACAGAACCCTATAGAAATCCTTGAAACAGTTTATCAACATGAATCATTTACAGGTTTATGGAATTATTTTCTTGAGAAGATTTGTGAAGAACCCGAAATGTTATTTAATTCTAATAAGTTTACCAATTTAAAAGCGCCTTTATTAAAATTACTTTTAAAACGGGATGACTTGGGTTTAGGAGAAATTATAATTTGGGATAATTTATTGAAATGGGGTCTTGCACAAAATCCTTCCATTTCACAAGACTTGACAAAATGGAGCAAGGAGGATACTACAATTATTGAGAGATCTCTTCATGGATTTGTTCCACTAGTTAGATTTTATCATATTTCTTCAGATGATTTTATTAAAAAAGTTTATCCTTTAAAAAAATTATTACCAGAAAATTTAGTTGATGATTTGGTAAAATTTCATATTACACCAAATAAAAAATTATCAAATGATAATATTGGACTTCCCAGACAATCTAAGTTTATTTATGACTCAACTTTAATTGAACGTCAACATTTTGCTATTCTAGCTAGTTGGATCGATAAAAAAGAAAATTTACATTATAATGTAAGAAATATTCCTTATAAATTCAATTTACTTTATCGTGCTAGTAGAGATGGTAATACACCTGCAGCATTTCATGCTAAATGTGATAATAAAGGAGCTACTATTGTTATTGCAAAAATTAAAAATTCAGAACAAATAGTTGGAGGATATAATCCACTTCAATGGGATTCAAGTGGATTATGGCATTCCACATTTGATAGTTTCATATATTTTTTTGCAGATATGAAAAATATAGTAACTGCAAAAGTAAGTTATAGTAATGGCAATGAGTATTCTATAAGAAATGATCCGAATTATGCACCAATATTTGGTGGTTGGGATTTATACCATGATAGAAATGGTGTTTGGTGTAATAGTTGGTGTAGTTCTTATCCTAAAATCGTTGGTATGCCAACGGGAGCATTTGAAATGAATGATTACGAAGTCTTTCAAGTAATTAGAAAATAATATTTTCTTGATCATACTTAAATATAAAAAGTAAAAAATATCTCATAAAGAGCGTAATATTTGATAATTAAAAGTTTGATAAAATATTGTTGACATAATTTCATAAATGATATTGTGATCTAGCTGATATTTGCATAAAATACAAAAGTTACTGTAGAATATTTTGCTCATCCATCATTCGTAGTCATTTATGTGAGCAATAATATAAAATTTAATTTGAGGTTTTGATGATGAAAACCATTTTAACTTTGACTTCACATATACTTCGTAATAAATAAAGTCTAAAAATGGTTATTTATATTAATGTGTTAAATTTTAAAAAAAGGATTTACACGTTTATCAATTTGAAAACCCTTTTTTTTTTAAAAAAAAAAAATATTTTTTATTCGAATATTTTTTAATTTTATCTTTTTTTTTCGGTTCCAAAAAAAAAAATTATTTACTCATCAACTTATTTTTTTTAAAAAAAGTTTATTACTATATAAAAAAATGCAAAAAGCAGAAAATACGAACGAATGGGTTTGAATACAATTATTTTAGTAATATTTAAGAAATTAGATCCGGAAATTTCAGAAAAGTTTATCGTGCGAATGGAAAAATTCTGATCATTGTAAAAGATCATTCATTAGGTAATTATAAAAAATAATCTACAATTTTTAGTATCTATATAAATTTTATATCTTAGACTTCAACCTCCAATGAGAAATATAATTTCATAGTAATAATATTAATTATTGATTTTTAAAAATTTGTACTGTACCAGATATGATAAAAAATATTCAATTCGACTTGGTGGTGGAAAAAGAATATAATAGTTTAAATAATTATTTCATTTATTTGTTAGAAAATTATAATGATCAATTAAAAAAAAAATATTTGTTGGTCATGGAATACGCTGATAGTGAAATTCTTCATGATTATTTGAAAAAATATTTTCGGCAATCTAGTTAGTTTCTGTCGTGTCATCCCTAATACAATATATTATAAATTTTTTAATTAAAGGGCTTTAATATATTTATGATATTATTTATCTTATTAAGCAAATATTTCTTTTAAAAATGTTCTTTCTTTTATAACTAATTGTAATTTTTTTTTAATTTTTATAACAATAAAAAAAGATTTTTATATAAAGTTTAAAAATTTATTAGTATTTCTATTATTTTTTATAGTTAAGTCCACTATAATAAAAATTTTTTCGATGATATCACAATAAAATTTTAAGAGTAATGTATTTTATCATTTTATCTGAGGATGAAAATTCTTCATTAATTCCTTTACTGTATACTGTATATTATTCTAGAAGATTGCAAAGTTGACAATAACTTTAGTTCGTAAAGGAATTAAAGTCAAAGAAATTCTATGCGAACTTGAGAGAGTTCAAATATAATAGATCATGAAGATGGATATCATCTTATGACAGAAGGAGTTGCTTAAGAGTCAGCACATAGTAACCTTCGCGAGAAAATCACTGAAGAAATTCGGCCTCTTGAAGCAGTTTATAAATGCGATCACAATAATTATTTTAGAAGTCAATTAGATAGTTTTGCAGAATGTGAGATAACAGTCTTCAACTGATCCAGTAGGAGACAGAGAGAAAATACCAGCAAAATAAAAGTTTTAGGTTAAGACGGGGTAGCGTTCCACATAATTTGTAGGTTATATAAAAGATTAATCATTTGTATTTACTTAATTCAATTAAAATATTTTTTTCAATATATTCCTGGTACTTTTATCATTGCATTACATTATAAAGGGAGGATGCTACTATCTTGGAATGGATCTTAAGTTAGACGATCTTTTAGAAAAGGTAACGTTTTAGACTTTTAGTCATACCAGATACCTACATTTATTTATTTCATATATTAAAGTATATTAATCACTTATTTAGAAACAAGATAATGTTACGCCATACATATGCAGTTAAAACATTCCAAAGTTATTACAGTTATTGAACAAGACATTTTCTAAGCGAAAGGCGTAGTTGTTGGGAAACAAATATTTTTGATAATTTGTTCATATTGTATGGTATTTTCTTTTATTTATTATATTTATTTTTTTTTTCATTTCAATAGGGATACTTCTGATGCGTGGGGCAAATTGTGTCTCCACATTATATGATGAAAAAAAAGAACCTGCTAAAGTTGGTGGATTATATGTTAATCTTAAGATTCACTCGTTTGCTTTTCTTGTTTAGAATCAGACCATTAGAATCATAGGTATTTTATTTCTTTCCTTTTTTTAAACCATTGTGTATTTCTGAATGTGTGAAAAGTAAATGACTTAAGTAATGCCAGATATTTGGTCCAATTGTGCAGATGGACAACACTAGCTTGCTTTCAAAAATCACGTGAATCTGATAAGGTGTTGATGGTTATCCAATATGTATATTTTTCTCAGAATATTTTTTTTTTAAAAAAAAAAAATTGATTGAGACCAAATCCAAATGCTCCTAAGATAATATAAGTTTAGTATATTAAAAATTCTTTTTGATTATCACAATATTACTCATAATTATGATAAAATGAATGGTCATAGTTCATTAGCTAAAAAATTTTATCTTTTTCTATACTCACCACCATGATAGTATATCCTTTTTGGATTATTTCAATTGATTTTTCATCGTAAAACGATAAATTTTATTTTTGTTCATTAACAGAATATCAAGAAAAAAATATCCATTACTTAAAAGAGATTAATTTCCTAGCACAAAAAGTCACATTGTGAAGATCTTGAAAAATATGATTGTGAATTTTCACATGGAAGTTGTGCACTTGTGCTATTGAAGCGAATACATTAGTACATCAGAATCACAGGAAATTTGGGACAGGCTGAACAAAACTTATGACCAGAATAATTTATTGAAGAATGAGAAATTTCCTCCTCCAAGTTCTATTTCTTCTTCTGATAAATCTGAGAGATTATTGAAATTCGTAATCACCTTCTTACTACGTACAATACCACGCATAAATTGAATCAAGAGATCAATATTGATGGGATAAAAAAAGTTCATCGCATTATGCTAAAGGAAACTTCAATGGACCATGGAATAATAGAAAAAATATGCAACAAGCAGGAAAATTTCGAACAATGATACGGTGATCATTTTCAAATTTACCTATGTCGATCCCAAAAGATTCACTAATCAACGAAGAAATGATTCCCCCGATGAAAATAGTGATGTTTACAGTATTGGTCAGAGGTGCAAGGCGAAGAACGCGATGTCGATTTGGTTATAGATATTAAAGAAGGTCTTAGAGAATAACCTGTTCCTGGTGCGCCAGAAGATTATGTAGAAATTATATACTGGCGAGTAAAATATTAAACTAACTAGTTTTCTTATAACAGAAAAGAATAAATAAAAATGATTTCTTTTTCAAAAAAAAAAAGAATAAAGAAGGTTAGTTTTTTCATTCTTCACTAGTATTTAAATTTTATCCGAGTTTTTTTCGCCTGAATTGAGAATTATGGTGTAAAATCTAAAAACTAAAAAATATGGCAAGATCGCATTTTAGGAATATGATATCTAATCCAGAAAATATGCCAAAGTTATGATTGTAAAATTTTAATTATAATCATCAACTCGATGTAAAAAACCTCAGCATTAGTAGTTACATATAATTTAATGGTTTCATATAATATTTTAAAAATTTATTTACTTTATTTCACAGTTTTTTTTTTAAACATTTGAACATATACAAATAATTGATTACTACCGATTTTAATTAAATAATAGGTTTCAGCTTTCATCTATATAATAAAAAAAAAGTGGAGACGTTTAGACTACTTCCTGTATAAATAATGTTGAATTGTGCAATGTATGGTTGTCTGCGCCTGATCTATCCCGTTTACTGTTAGGTTGGACAATTTGATCGGATAGCTTGATCAGCGAGTGCCGTATTACGATGAACAATTTGATCGGACAATTTGATCGGCACTTTCCGTCCATGATGATTACCAATGTGTAAAAAAATTTAACTGCCATTACAATTATAAAATATAGGGCTAAGGTCTAGTAAAACAGTCGTTATTTGTCCGACACATAGCCAAGGACTTTTAAGTTACAGTCAAGAGTCAAGACCATGCAATATCTGTCTATCGTGTAAGAACTAATCTTATTTCACGGAGTCACTGGAATATCATGATTTTCACACAGCCGTGAAAATCATTGATATCCTTGAAATAACTATTACAAATTTCATTCTCTGACATCGATGATCCATAATCCTGATACAAAAATCCTGTCAGTTCTAAAATCTTGCAAATCAAAATCCCAATGAGGATCACAGAATCCCCGTCGGTTAAAAATCCTGCTGGTAAAATCCTGAAATTTAGAAGTCTGAAATTCAAATAAATTTGTAATACGTACTATGCAAATTACCTTTAAATTCTTTGTTAAACCAATTAATATAATTATTAGTAACATTATTAAACGCAAAATACAGTCAAACCTTTATATAACGATATGTCGGGACATATATGAAATTTTTAGAAAATATCGTTATATCAAAGTTATACCGATATTTATATGTCCTCACATATAGTGGGAAAATAAAATTTTATCGGTATAACAAGTTTTTAATAGTATATCGGTATATCGAATATCGGTATATCGAGGTTAGACTGTAAATGTTATTATTAACGCAAAATATTCGTAATTTCATTACAATTATTAAAAACAAATGATTTAGAAATTTAATAAGATTATATTTATAAATTTCCATTTATTTTTATATTTTTTTAAGCAAATTAATTAGAAATTTCAAATTCATAATCAAAATTATAAAAGCAAGGTTATTTGATGATCAATAATCGGCATAATTCTTTATCAAACGTTGCTCATCAACATCTACTTGTTCTAATTTTTTGTTATACCATAAAGCTTCACATTGTTTTAAAAAAAATCGATTTTCTAGAATACTTTTTTTTTAAAAAAAAAATACAATCATACAAAAATATATTAATTGAAATTTGCGACAATCTAAATAGTAATTTATTAGTGATGCAAATAGCTGAATATAAATAAACTAAGACTCGCATCATTTTTTAAATTATAATTCGCCTAATTAAAAAAAAATTATTATTTTTTAAATTTCGGGATTTAACTGTCAGAATTTTATATTGTCAGGTTTCTATAATTGTTGGGATTTTGATCTGTCGGAATTTTTAGGACTGTCAATATCGGGATTATGAACTAAGATTATGGATGTCAAGAATCCAGTAAACCGTAACTTATATTGCAGATCATGTGTTTATTATAATGCTTTGAAACGCAACTTATTTACGAAATGAATGTCAATTCTAGTTAATAATACTTATTAGATTAAAAATTTGTTTGATGTTCTAGAATGATGATTCTCAAATAATGTGATTGCAATTAAAGAAAAAAGCATGATTACATTGATAGAATTATTTATTTATAACGATAAAAAAATATTTGTTGGTTGTCACGCCTAAAAATTTTCAATGTCAAAAGTTTTTCAAAAAAATTCATTCGATACCATAAGTATGATAAATACTTTTAGACACATAATCAGTATGTTAAAAATTAATTTTGTAATTCATAATAATTTTAACAAATTTGGAATTTATCTCAAAAAATTTACACCGTGCTAAAAATCACATGTTGGTCTGATGTGTAGATTGGTCATCTAAAATTAATCGTCCATTTTTAATAATTTAGAAAAAATGAAATCTTTTAATGGAACTCAGAATACTGAATTTTGTTCTTTATTAAAAGGAAGTAACTCTGAAACCAAGCTATTAACAATTACATTATAACGAGATATTTAATAATCATATACCTCCAACTAAATGTTTTCAAGATGAACCGAAATTTTATTTTTGTCTTCATTTTATTTGCTACATTTTCCATGATCAATGCCGTTCCAACTTCGTGAAAGAGAAACGCGAAAGATGTTGACTTTACTCACTGTAACAGTCACATCTGGCCCTCCTGTTTCTTACAATCCCGCGAGTTTTACTGTTTCCGGTAAATTAAGTAAAGGTGATATAACTGTAAGACAAACCTTCCTTAGAATTGAATATGATGAAGCGGATAGTATCTCTCCAAAAACTCCTTTAGGCAACATCCATTATCAGGCCCTAGGCCAATCACTTAAAGCAGGAGAACAACTGAATTTACTATTACTGCAAAGTAAATGAGACACCTACCACATAGTATTAAAGTTGCTGTTGTGGATCAACCCAGTGATCCAAAAGATCCATATGAGGTCCATGCTTGTGCAATTGATACGGTTTTACCTTGAACGAAAGCATAGCTCAATGTTAGTTACCCTTAAAAAAAAAAAAAAAAAAAAAATTTAAAAAAAGAAA